CTCCTGACTTCACCTGCCTCGGTCTCCCAAAGTGCTGAGATACAAGTATGAGCCAGGGCTCCTGGCTGATATTTTCTATTAATTGCTTTTCTCTTTGTGTATGAGCCATACACTCTTGTTTCTTTGGATGTCTCATGATTTTGTTGCTGAAAACTGAAGATTTTACATAACATAATGTTGCAACTCTGAAAATTATACCCTCTGCTTTCCCCAGGCTTTGTTGTTGTTCTTCTTTTCTTTTTTAAATTGACTTTCCTGAACTGAATCTGTAAAGTCTATATTCTTTGTCACGTGTGGCCACCAAGGTTTCTGTTCAGTTTAATGCCCTACTAATGATTGGACAGAAATTTTCTTACATGACTGAAATCATTAAGCCTCTAGCTAAGGGGGGGTCTGTGGGGGCACATGCTCAATGCTCTAGCAACCTACAACTCTGCCTCAGCCTTCATTTTCTGCTTGCGCAGAGCCTCAAGGTTAGCCGGGGGTGAGAAATCAGGGCTCTCTCAGGTCTTTTCCAGCACCTTCAATGGGGTTTCCAGGAGTGTTAATAATTTCTCAGTTTCAGTTAACCAGGGGCTTTCACACATGTTATTTTCAATGGCTGTACCACCACCCTGTAAGTTGTGTATTAATTACATCATTTTACAAATGTTGCAGCCAAACCACAGAGGGCTTAAGTAACTTGTCCAAATTCTCACAGTTAGTAATAAGGTAGGAAGCTGGGGCTTGAACCCAAATCTGCATGATCCCGAAGTCTGAACGGCACAGAACATTCCCTAGCCTTGCAAACCAGGTCCCTAAACCAGGACACATGCTTCGGGACCCTTACGGCCTCAGGAGGGGAATCAGAGGATTCAGTTTCCTCAATTTGTCTCTTTCCCTGACCCCTGCCAAGTCCTATAACTAACATGATGTTCCACAGTCCATAACCAGTCTCTGTGGAATTGTGGTGTGGAATTCACTGCCATACCAACATGTTCACAGAAGTGGTGCCAAGTGGATCTGACACATTTTAAGTATTAATTGTGGTATCCCACCACCTCGACTGCTTCTGATACCACACTACGTTTATGCTAACCTTTTCACCCCCAAGAAGGAAATTTGTAATTTATCTTAAAGAAAGATAAGAAGAGTATCTCTTTAACCTTTTCACTGTAAAATAAACACACATATACAACCACATGAACAAATACATAGCCTAATAAATTATTTCAAGGCCAATATCCCTGTAACTACCACCTAGGTCAAGAAGTAGAACTCTGTCATCCCAGAAGCCCCTCATGTGCCCCATATCCCAATTACAACTTCACCCCTCCCGCCAAAATTAATGACTATCCAAATTTTTGTAGTAATTCCTTGCATTTCTTTATAGATAAAAACCCACGTATGTATCCCTAGAACTAATAAATAGTCTTGCCATTTTATAAATTTTTAAAATTCTGGTGTGTCTTTTAAGTGTCCCATTCCTTTTCTCTTTCCTTACAATTTATCTGTTAAAGAACCCGGGGAGCTTGACTTGTAAAATCTCCCAGTCTGGATTTTGCTGAGTTCGTGCTCATGGTACAGCTCAGCATATCCCTCTGTCCTCCATATTGCCTGATCTCCTGGGCAAGATTAGAGGTGCTGTTCTTTTACAGATGGCACATAATTTCTGGTTGTCTCTTTTTATGAAAGTAGCAGCCATTGATGCTCAGTGCCTAGATCAATTACTTCCTAGGGCATTGAAAAACTGTAATATTATATCATTTCTTTTTTATTTATTAAGGGGGACACATCTATAAAAAGATGTTTCCCCTCACCTACTATCTGCTTACTCAGAACTGCAGTTCACATAAGGTCAGTAACGCTTGATTCTCTCCCTTAATTTCGTAATTATCAAGATAAAGGATTAGTTCCTTATCATCCTCCAAAAGTGGACAGTTTATTTTGGGGTATCTTATAACCTCATAGATTATTTGATGAGTTTCAATACATGGTAATTATTATTCTTATTGGAGCTCAAACTGTCCCATCTTTGGCCAGTAGGAACCTCTTCACATAGTCTCCTAAGCTTTTTGACATGGCCCCCGTAGTCCTTGATAGCTTCCTTTCTATGTCTATGACAAGATAATCCTGGCTCATCTGGTATACCTCCTGCCCTAGACCTGGAATTGGTTATTTATCAAAGAAGTTCCTGGTTCTCTCTTCTGTGAGTATCCTGGTTCTTAAGAATACAGGGGATGACAGAAATAAACTGTCTCGTAATTACTCAATGGTCCTATCTTGTATTACACACGTACAAGTCTCAGAATAACACTACTAATAGTGTTCCCACTAAATTAATTACTGAAAATTATTTTAAAACGTTTTATATTGGTTTTCCCCATTGTCTCCCATTTTTTAGTCATACTCTATCTTCACTGTCAGAAGATACATTCATTATATACTATATTCTCTCTGTTAAAGCACAATCAGTATCAGTTCCACAAATAACTACATACTTAATGTTCATCTTCAGTCCTAACGTTGATGTTTCTCTAGTCATTTCGGTTTGCCGAAACTTTTTATTTAGCAAATTCCTGAGGAAGGGCTCATAGAAACAATATTCCCCAAGTTTTTTGAATATTGATGAATTTGTGTCCTTTATACTCGAAAGTCAGTTTTTCTGATCTAAAACTCTTGCTTCTCATTTTCTTTGCTTAAGTATCTTACATATGTAACTCTATTTTCTTTCGGCATATTATTTTACCATAGCAAAGTTTGATGATAAGTAGCTGTCTTCTCCTTACAAGCCACACTGCCTTGATACTTATAATTTCCTTAACCCCCTCGTTCCTTTAAAATCCAGTAATTTTACTAGAGTATGTTTTGGTGTTTATTGTTCAAAGTCCATATTCTCAGGTATGCAATGTGTGCTCTTTCAACACATAGTTTCAAACCTTTAGTTTTAGGTAACTTTTCTTGGATGATAGATTTTAGCATCTGTTCTGTTCCTTTGCTTTGTTTCTGTTTTGTTTCAAATTCAGGGGCTCCTATTGTCCTTATCCTGGATTTTTCTTCTCCATCTTCAAGGTTCATCATTTTCTCCTGACTCCTTTTCATCTCTTCATTTCTTATTGATTTAAAAAATGTCCTACATTTAATCCTATATTTCTCTTAAGCTATTATCTGCTGCAATTAATTGCTCTTAGTCTATTTTGGTCTTCATTTTTGAAATTTTTCTTTTATTTTTTATCCATGCAGTGCAAAAACTTCTTTTTAATTTTTCTTTTATTTCTAATTCTTTCCTGAGTTCTGTCTTTTCACTTCTGTTCTTTCCTATCTTAAATCACTTTCTTAAATATGTGGCTTGTTTTAAAGTCGTGCGCTACAGTCTTTCCTGTTTGTAGGCATGTCATTGTGGTGGGCTTTCATTATCTATAGGTTAAGTATCTCTTATCTGAAATGCTTGGGAACAGAAGTGTTTCGGATTTCAAATTTTTTAGATTTTGGAATATTTGCATTATCTTTACTGGTGGAGCAACTCACATCTGAAAATCTGAAATCCAAAATGCTCCAGTAAGCATTTCCTTTTGAGTGTCATGTCACTAGTGCTCTGAATGTTTTGAATTTTGGAGCACTTCAGATTCCAGATTTTCAAATTCAGGATGCTCAACCTGTATAAGGGTATTATTCTCTTTTCTTAAAGTAATTTTGTATGAGACTTTATCGCAATCCTTTTTTTTTTTTTCTAAAAACACAACTATAGCAGCATCAATCCTTTTCTATTGTTCTGTTTTACATAAAATTAGTTTTCTTGAACTTTTAGAAGATAGTATGGTTCTAACCTCACTGAGCTCATTCTTCTGTTTTTGTGCTGTGTTTAAAAAAATTCTGAGGTTTCCTGGTTCCATTCCCCTCCTCCCATTTTATCTGAACCTTCTCCTCCTTCATCTCTATGTCTCCAACCTGCTCAGTTTTTATTCCATTTCCAATATTTATCCTATCTGTGGGATCCTGTCTTCAAAGAGAGTTCTGGCTGGTCAGCTTTAAAAGTTCATAGCATCTGCTGCTCTAGCCCCTTCAAAAATTACCAGGAATCTCTTGATCTAGCCCAGTATTGGACAAGGCAATACCCTTTTTGATATCAAATGCTGTTCTCACATCAGCCCATCACATTTTTAATGAATATATAATAGCATCCCTTTGTTTATTCCCCCACAAGGCTAATATTATGCAGTTCTTGTGGCTTCTAGTAAGGAAACTAACTAGTTTTGCTGCAAATGCTTCCTATGGGTTCTTGGCTTTGCTATTTAGTTGCTCTGGTTTTTTTTGGTTGGTTGGTTCCAACAAGGTCTCACTCTGTTGCCCAGGCTAGAGTGCAGTGGTGCAATCACAGCTCACTGCAGCCTCGAACTCCCAGGCTCTCCCACCTCAGCGTCTAGAGTAGCTGAGACTACAGGTGCGCACCACCATGCCCAACGTTTTTTTAAATAGAGACGGGGGTCCCACTTTGTTGCCCAGGCTTGCTCTGTTTTTGAGAGGAGATTTCAAGGAGACTTAAAAACCTTGTCACTGACCAGCCACGGTGGCTCATGCCTGTAATCCCAGCACTTTGAGAGGCCAAGGCAGGTGGGCCACTTGAGGTCAGGAGTTCAAGACCAGCCTGGCCAACATGGCAAGGCCCCATCTCTACTAAAAATACAAAAATTACTTGGGCATGCTGATGTGTGCCTATAATCCAAACTACTTGGGAGGCTGATGCAGGAGAATCTCTTGAACCCGGGAGGCAGAAGTTACACTGAGCCGAGATAGCACCACTGTACTCCAGCTTAGGTAACAGGACGAGACTCCGTCTCAAAAAAAAAAAAAAAAAAAAATGTCATCACTGCTGCTCTTGTCACCCTCTTCCCAGATTTTAGAGTATTTTTAGAATTCTACGGAAAATTTCTAGAAATAAAATACCTTAAAAATCTTATAATGCTTCCAGAAATAAAGCATCTTTCATAAAAGAAGAAAATTGACCCATTTTGTCTGCTTACCTCAAGAAGTCTGAACAAGCGGTACCTGATGTCATAACTGGTCCACAAGGCCGTAAAAAAGGCATTCAGTCCGACAGAACTAATCATAATTAACTTAAAGAAACGGCTCATTATGACTTTCTTCACAAATGACCGAAACTCATCATCTTTCCGCCTGTCAAAAAGTTGAATATAAAGTATGGTTATGGCACTACAGAGCCGGATGCCCACATAATGCATACCTTTTTGCAGGGACAAGGCTCTGCTTTCTCCCTTCTGTGAATATAAATGTACATATACTTTTACATAGCAATGAAATGTTGAATAAATAACCACTGAAATACACATGATGATCATGGATACTCTGTCCCCACTCAGTTCCCTCCCCCTGGACCTCTGAAAAAGAATGGTCACCACTCCTTCTCCAGCAAAACAAAGTGTCATCTTCATTTATTCACTCAACAAATCTTTATTGAGTGGCAACTACATACCAAGCAATATAGTAGGCACTTGGAACACAGTGTGAGCAAGACTAAATATTGCCAGTCTACTAAGCAAAACTGATAATCATCAGATATCACCCATACACATGCTCACATCAATAATAAAAAACTGAACACCCCAAGAGAAAATGGGCACACACCTATTCATGAAATAAATACCAAAGACCAATAAACTTCTCGAGATACGTTCTATAGCAACACTAATCAGGGAGATGCACCATTATTTTCGTTTATAAAATTAGCAAAGACTTGAACATGGTAAGATCTAATGCTGGCAACAGTGTAGTATGATTTAGCACCGTCTAAAACTGCCAGAGGCATGGAAACTGACCAGCTTTTTTGAAAAGCCTTAGAACCATTCATTCTCTGACCCAAGAGAATACAACCTGAAATGAAATAACTTCAACTAAAAATGTCTCAGCATTATTTCCAGTACTGAGAAGCTTGAAAACAATTTAAACATCTAACAAAAAGGACTGGGCAAATATTTGTGGTATGTCCGTCTCTTGAAATATAGGCACTAAAATATGTCTATGCATTTTTCAGGATTTAGAAAAGTGTTTACAATCCATTTTTATATCTTGTTTTGTTTTGTGTGCAACAAAACACAAAAACCAAAGGTACAAAATTTTCTGTTCAAAATTATCTCACCTGTGCAAAAATGGGCAAAAAAAATCAGCAGGAAATATGCCAAAATGTTAACAGTGTCTGTCTATGGATGGTGAGGTTACAGACAATTCTTTTTCCAGTTTATTTCCATTTATCTGTGCTTTGCAATTTTTCTCAAAGAGTACATATTACTGTTTCCCATTATATGTTATAAATGAATACATTCTCATAATAGTTTAAAAACATGGAATATATATTCTTTTTTTTTTTTTTTTTTTTNGTCTTGCTCTGTCACCCAGGCTGGGGTGCGGGGTGGTGCAATCTCAGCGCACTGCAAACTCCACCCCCACAGGTCCAAGCGATTCTCCTAACTCAGCCTCCCAAGTAGCTAGGACTACAGATGAACACCACCACTCCTGGCTAATTTTTGTATTTTTAGTAGAGATGGGGTTTTGCCATGTTGGCCAGGCTAGTCTCAAACTCCTGACCTCAGGTGATCTGCCCACCTCGGCAGGCTTAGTAAGCCACCGTACCTGGCCAGAATATATATACTTTTCTAATATATATACTTTTCTAATATATCAAGATATATAATTTTCACTATCTGATTTGAGATGGGGTCTACTGCAAAAAATAAAAAGAAAAGCCTTGAGATTATCTAACAGTCATTAATAGAAAAGGACAAAACTGAGTTAAACTGGTCATTCAAGTCTACAGGGCACATAACAGGATGCCAACCTCACCGATCACAGAAACCAAATTGTCAAGGACATGCAACTTATTTTGGTAAGCAGACGAGTGTCTAAGGGAAGAGGCTGAGCGAACGCCAACACCCTGCCCTGATACTTCCGCTTGCACATTTCTTAACAGGTAACGGAGATAGAGAATATTTACTTAAATTTCTTGAATGCTGGGCAGAATTCCATTGATGTAGCAATCAGTGAACTAGAAATGACTTTCAACAGGCTCTGGTGACGGTGTTGAGACATTTTCCAAATTTCCAACTTTTATTTCTTGCTTTTATCATCCAACAGAAAATCTCTGCTTAGGGATTTTCCTTAGCATCTGGATTCTGAGAGGCAGTGGAGAAGGGTCCATGAAGGGAATCCTTGCTTTATGAGGTCACTCTTGGACATTGGACATTCTGTTGCTTTACCAGTCTGGCACCCCTGAAGTGGGGAGCTCCCCACTTATCATGAATTCTCTTTTCCCAAAGAGACTGAGTGCCTCCATTCAACAAAAAGGCTGTGGGCATCCACGTTATGCAGAATCATAAAGCTCTGGGTTAAAGCTGGAAGTCACTAGAAACAGACCACACAAAGGCCCTCCCTTCAAGAAATGCCCCCAGCTGATTGACACAGGCCCTTGGTAATGTGTTAGAAAAAGTTACGGGATCATATAAGAAGGGAAAGAAAAGTTCTCTGGGCTCTAAGGAAAAGAGAGCACATCCAGGGCCCAGCCACTGGAAACACCTGGAAGGACAAGAAAAGACTGTGATGGGTTTGACTTAGAACAAAAGAAAAATTATAATCCCAGCAACTTGGGAGGCTAAGATAGCAGGATCACTTGAGACCAGGCGTTTGAGATCAGCCTGGGTAACACAGTGAGACCCCCCCATCTCTAAAAAAAAAAAAAAAAAGAAGAAGAAATAAAAATTAGCGGCAGCATGTGGTGGCTCACACCTGTAATCCCAGACTTTGAAAGGCCAAGGCAAGCAGATCACCTGAGGTCAGTAGCTCGAGACTAGCCTGGCCAACATGGTGAAACACTGTGTCTACTAAAAAATACATAAAAATTAGCCGGGCATGGTGGCGGGTGCCTGTAATCCCAGCTACTCAGGAGGCTGAGACAGAAGAATCACTTGAACCCAGGCAGTGGAGATTGCAGTGAGCCAAGATCATGCCATTGCACTCCAGCCTGGGCAACAAGAGCAAAACTCCATCTCAAAAAAAAATAAAAATTAGCCATGGGAGTTTGAGGCAGGAGGATTGCTTGAGCCCTGAAGTTCAAGACAAGCCTGGGCAATATAGTGAGACTGTCTCTATAAAAAATAAAAATAAATTAAGTGGATGTGGTGGCATGCACCTGTAATCCCAACTACCAGGGAGGCTGAAGTGGATCACTTGAGTCCAGGAGTTGGAGGTTATAATGAGCTGTGATGACATCACAGCACTCCAGCCTGCATGAAAGAATGAGACCCCGTCTCTTAAAAAAAAAAAAAAAGGAGATATTATTATATTACATAAATCCTGAGTTGGCTAACTGCAGGTATGGAATGTGCACATATAAACCACCTAGATAGAATATAAAGAATGAGCCCATGAGGCAGGGATGTTTTACGTACAAAAGTGATAGGGATTTTTGCTCTGTTCAACTCTCAAGATTAATATATTTTCCTCACTCACCTTCTCCTAACTCCTTTGATTTTCAAGACAAATCAAGACAGTGAAATCTGGGTAGCCCTGTGTTGTACTAAATGTTCAGTGGCTAAACTGGTCAATTTCCTAGACAACAAAGTTCTTGGTCCATAAGAAAAGGAGGTAACCACTCCATCGCCTCTGCTGTCCCTGGTGTTCCACAAGTATATATGACCACTTGTGGTAGGAAAATACTTTCATGAGCAACCAATAAACTAAACTGGGAAATAACATCTTATGTACTCATTTTCTCCATTTAAAATCATCAACAGCAAAGTTTTAAGAATCACTGGGATTCATGTCCCCATGATTCAAACTTCAGCCCCATCATCTCCCTCTACATTCATTCTCTCAGGGATCAGCTTCTCCTATAACTCCTGTTGTGTCCTTTAGTTATATGCCCCTAATGTCTCAGGGCTCCTGCCCAACATCCACCCACAGGAGGCTCCTGGGGCAGCTGCTCCAAGAGAGCCCACATCAGTTCTCCACCTGTTTCCACCTGCCATGTCACTGTGTCCAATCCCCTTGGGTACACAGAAGGCCCTCAGTAAGCATGTGCTGTATGAATATGCAAAATAATGGCATCAGGATCCCTGTGCTCGCTCTTATAGCTAGGCACAGCAGGATTTCATCTCCAGGAAACTCAGCAGTACACTTTTGTGACTTCCCTCTTTAAGCACCAAAGCATATTTTCACAGAAAAACAGAAAACAGACTTAAAAAGTAAAGAATTCTTTCATGCCACTTGGAGAGGGAAGGTAGCCCAATGAAAGCAACAGAGAAGAGCCCAGTTGTTCTTGGTGGACTATATCAGCACAGCCACAGATGAATGCTATTTCTGAAGCCACTGATGAAGACTTTAGTCTGGAAATGAAACTCCAGCTGGGTGAGTGGAAAGCAACAGGAAATCAGAGGTGCCAAGCTGATCCAGGGCCTACTGAAGTCATCCCTTATCTTCTCATGGATTGGTGGGCAGGGCAGGCATCCTGGGATGAGAAGCCCAAGGGCCATCTCCAGTGCCCTTTCAGCAGCAACTCACAGTCTGCATGACCTGGGCAGCACCACGTCAGCCACAGATAGCCAGGGAGAGTCAGCAATTGGCAGGCGTGGCAGCTTGGTGACTCTGACATCCTCTGGACGATATCATTCATTTACTAGTCCTGAGTAACTGGCATTGAAACACAAAGCTCACTTATGATGGCCAAACCCTATTACAGCTCCTGATGTCTCACAGAAAGCTTTGCAAAACTGAAAGCTACAGAGTCCAACTTTACAGTATGTTTCTGAATGCTGATCAGAAAGTGTACAGAGTGCTCCCTACTCTCCCCACTGGTCCAATAGTTCAATACATTAATGGAGGCAGGCTTGTGTCCAAATACAATGTACATGCTGCCGCTTTTTGTCTATAGCATAAACATAAACAGTCATGCTTACGCTATTTATCCCAAGGTTTCCTAAATTCTATCAACATCAGAAAGTGACTATTATTTTCAGAACCTTCATTAACTTCATTGTAGGAAAGGACATCGTCAACCATGCTGGCCCAGGTTTACTATCTGTGGAGGTCATGCATGGGGTCACAGGTCATGTCTGTTTAACTCCTCTCCAGCAATCATTTAGCAAGAAAATATAGGGAAGCCAAAGCTTACCACATGAGAGAAACCACTGCCATCATGCAAAGATTTGGAACAGACAGGAACTTGGGGACCTCCAACTGTGACAGTGTCTCTTTTAAGTTGAAACGTGAGTTACCCGAAGCAAGTCTGGTGTTTCATTCTGTCAGAATTGACCACCATGAGAATTTCCATGGACTGCGGATATGGGATCTTTGAGTCTCTATAGTAAAGTCTTTGAGTTCCAGCAGACGCAGGGACCCTTAATATAGACCTTATGTCACACCCTCATATAGGTGATATCTAGCAACTTCATTCTCAGGTCTTACCACTGTAATCATGAACCACATCCGCTTTCTCCACTGTGCTACACGTGACACATGTTAACACAGCCATCAAGTTTAGGCTCTCAGACTTCCACTCACAATAGAGGAAAAGGGTTCCGGGTAGGGTATGGTAAAACAAGTTAAATGACACCGCAGGAAGCAAACAAACAAATCCAGAAGGCAAAATGTTCTACAGCACAATTGATCTAGTTTTTACAATAAATAAATTACATGGGGAAAGGGGGAAGGGAGAGGAGCTTGCCCCAGATCAAGAGACGAAAGAGACACAACAACCAGATATAATGAGTGGGCTTCATATAGATCCTGGGTTTGAACCAAACTACTGTCCAAAGACGTTCATGATCTTCAGGACAATTTGATTTTTGCCTAGGTATTAGGTTTACCAAGGAATCATTTTGTTAGGTATATTAATGGTACTGTGGTTTCTATAAGAAAATGACCATATTTTCCATAGACACTTACTGAAGGATATAGGGGTGAAATGATAAGCTATCTGGGATTTGCTTTTAAATACTTTAGCAAAGACAGAAACAGGGAAAATGAAGCAACTAGGACAAAATCTTGGTAGTTTTTATATCTGGGTGATCAGTATGTAAGGCTTCAATGTACTATTCATGTACTTTTGAATATGTTTAAATTTTTTCATGCTTAAAAAATTCATGTAAATCCAGGTGATGATTCTCAAAAGCAAATTTTTAAAAATTAACATTGAAAATTGAAGCACTTAACTAAAACTCTTTGGTAATAAAAAGTATAAAATCTATACTATCGGAAAGAGCTTATAAAAACATACAGCTTTATCTTTTCCTTTGAAAGAATCCTAAGAACACAAGTTATAGTGCTAAGGATCTGGATTCCCCGGCACCCAGAGAGCCTAGGTGGCTCTTTCCCACTTCCTCTCCCTGCACACCGCATGTCCACAGGGCAACTGACCATACCTGCCTCTCCCTGGCCAGCAAAACTAGCCAGGAACCGGCTTCAGAGAGCTCAGCCTCTGTGCCATGTTCCTGTACATCTCTCAGGTTTGGGGTAAGGATCACATGGAGCAAGGAAGGTTTGCTTGTTGTAACAATGAATGATTTCTCTGGCCTCTAAAGAGAGGTGGGTTACAAACATGATCTGTGTTAAATTCCACTACCATGATGCTTCAAGGGACTAACAATGCTTCTTGGATGGATATATCTGCATCATAATCTCATTAGTAGTACATTCCTGAATTCCTTCAAAGAATATTCTTATTACAATTTTTAAATAATAGATTACCTGATGCTCCTTTTTACATCCGTCAGTGATACATGGAGTAGGTAGAGCTCACTACTGAATAATACCCAAGTAGCTTCTAGCTTCAGTGGCTGTAGACCCTCAGTTCAGGAGTCACAACATGCAAATGATGGGGGAAAAAATGACCCTTAGTTCCTCCTTAACTCAGTAACTCAAATAACGACCTGGTGAGTTGGTTACTGTAACAGTAAATCTTGTATTGCCACTCATTCCTGGAAGCCACAGATAAGATACTTGTCCTTTCCTTCAACTCTCTGTTGAAAGAGAAAAGTAAAGAAAACACACCAAGATAGCTCACCCAATTTTTATGACTTGTTTAATTAATTACTTAAGTAGTAACAGCAGCTAAAATCAAATCAACTTTAGCTTCATAAGAATTGTTATGGGGCTAGGCGCAGTGGCTCACACCTATAATTCCTGCACTTTGGGAAGCCAAGGCAGGAAGATCATTTGAGCCCAGGTGTTCAAAACCAGCCTGGGCAACATAGTGAGACTCCATCTTATATAATTATTAAAAATAAATAAATAAATGAAAATTTTAAAATATGACACAGTGGTTCACGCCTGTAATCCCAACATTTTGGGAGGCCAAGGCAAGAGAATCACTTGAGGCCAGAAGTTCTAGACCAGTCATGGCTGCATAATAAGACCCTGTCTCCAAAAAAAGTTTAGAAAATAAGCCAGGTGTGGTGGTGTATCCTGTAGTCGCAGCTACTCAGGATACTGAGGTGGGAGGATCACTTGCACCTGAGAAGTCCAGGCTACAGTAAGCATTGGTGGCACCACCTCACTCCTGCCTGGGCAACAGAATAAGACCCCGTGTCAAAAAAAAAAAAAAAAAAAAAAAAAAAAAAACCTGTTATAGTGGCTGGGCACAATGGCTCACACCTGTAATTCCTGCACTTTGAGAGGCAGAGGTGGCAGGCTTGCTTGAGCCCGAGAG